GAAATAACAAAGAAATAGAAGTAGACAAATACTTGCTGAAGACAAGCTTTATAAGCATTTTTTGCCTGACCTGAGAGACTAAAGAAATGATGAAACATAGTGCAAAACTGAAGAAGAAGACTAATAAAGAACTGAGAGAGACTGACGACAAGAATGAAGACAGTGGGAAGACACTTAAGACTGAATGACACAACTGACAGGAAAACTAAGAACTGCTGCGGTTGTAAAAGCTATGAATGAGAATGAGAAATACGATTAAGAGATTGAAAATGAGAATGAATGTGAGACCCAGGACTTATGAAAGGCACAACACTCAAAGAAAAACTAACTCTAGAAAATAACTAGCCCAATGACAGAGTTAGTAAAGACTAAGGACTGATAGAACATGAACTGAAGACATAAGAAAATAGAGTGAAATAGAGAATGGACAAAGGAAATGAGAATGAGCAACAAGACTGAGAAAATGAAAACATAAGTCAGAAAGGGAGAATGAAAAACTGAATAACTTAAGAACTAATGAATGCCGATAAAATAGTAAATGCTTTAGAATCTGAAAAAGAACAATGACAAGCCACAAAAATACTGAAAATCTTATATGCTGAAGACTTAGGAATGGGGAAGGGCACTCAATGACTGAAGCTATAGACAAAACTGATGAACAAAGACACATAACACTAAAACTACTGACCAAACTGACGAAAATGAAACCTACATTGAAACTAACTGGAAATTAAAGCTCATTGACTATCTATTAATGCAAAATGACAACCAACAAAAATGGCACATTAATGAAAACAGTGGACTAAGAAAAAGACCGAGAAGAACACTGAAACAAGACTTAACTGATAAACTAAATGGTACATGACTGTAATAACTGACAGCTGAACTACAAACAACAATTCTAAGATACAATACGAGACTGAATAATGAACAGTAGTGAATACTGATATACAACTAAATTCTCGAGACTGATAGACAAAATATTGAATGATGCAATCGCAAATTATGAATGGTAACTAACAAAACATGAACACTAATAACTGAAAAAAAGACTGGTGAAGAAAATAACAGAAATGGATATTGAAGGGAAAACAATGAAGTGATGAGTGAATGACAAGACAGAAAAATGAACAAAAGAATTGAAGAACTGGTTGACCAATGAATTACTGAATACGATTCCTATTCCTCTCGCCGCCTCGATATGGGGCTGAAGACAACCAGCACAGAAGAGTAAAAAAGGAGATTGAATACCGAGAAATGACAAAATGCAAGGAAAATTTAGTGAAGACTTCACCATCCTTTATAGATGACAAGGTGGAGAATAATAAGGCAGATCAATGAAGAATGACAAGAAAATGGAGAAATGATAAAAATAAAATAGCAAGCTTATAGAATGACAAACATGACTAAAGAAAATAAAGGGGGTGAGACTGAAGAAGGGTGAGAATGTGGATTCGGTAACAACCAGGCCTTTTTTTGAGCCACTTAACTAGGACACTCCTGATTATATACTGAAAACTAAAGGAAAAAGAGTGAACAACGAAAGTAGTTACCAAAAAGGATAGCCAGTTTTAAGTTTTGAGCCTGAAATTTAAAAGGTAGACACTTAAGTAGGACACTACAAAGTAATTTGTAAGAAGCCAGCTGCTCATCTAAGAATAAGCAAAGAGAGAAAATGATTGATAACAACATAAGAGACTAGAACAAGAGACCGAGGGAGAATGTGCAAAAGATAGTAAGGTGAAGAATATGAACAAAACCCACTAGGCCGTGGACACGTACACCTCGCCTCCAGCAGCTTGCTGATATTCCTACACCGACTATCCATAATTCCATCACCTCGCCTCTAGTGCATAAATTACATACATAATTCCGTGCTCGTGCAACAATGGCAATCTTCCTACCAAAGATTGGCATATGAGAATGGGTCAGAGCTCAACTAACTAGGACCCAAAGAAAATTAAGAAACTTGACCACCTCAAGCAATCTGGTTGACACTAATTACTGAAAAAAATCAGTGGGATTGCCACTTTTACATAAGTATCAATGAACTCACAGAAAACAAATGCTTGTATGAATTGGTTAAGGAGAATGTGGATGTTTAACAAAATGCTAGAGACCAAAAATAGATGGGACGCATTAGACTCCAACTTAAGCTATATAAAGCTCCAACTAAACCTTATGAGTTTCTTTGAAAAGTTGTAAGCAACAAAACTGACATGCATACTCGCTGTACAAGCTTAATGACCGAGAAACAGGGACTTGCGTGACAAAAATGCTTGGGAAAGATATAGAGAGACAATAAAATAAGATACACCTCAGATTATGTGATTCAGGGGTGGTGCTTGTACCAAATTGCTGCCAATTTTTCATATGTGCAGAATATAACACAAAACTACAACATTTGATGGACACCATGAATCAAACAAACATCTAGTACCTAAATATATGTAGTATACCATTTTTACAAGATAGCATGAATTTCACAACACAAAAATTGAGCACATGGTAGCATTTCAGTTCCATCTAGATACAACAAAATCATCCCAAAATGTCATCCCGCACAGCATTGGTGTTACCTTCTTTTTAATTGACTGCTGCAACTTGCAAAACTGAACTCCTGCAGATTTGGATTAGGATTAGGATTAGGATTTGACTGCTGCAGATTTGCAAAACTGAACCCAGATTAACCTAAAAAAATAAAAAAATTGAGAGAATTAGGATGTGAGACCTGCTTGTATTCTAGGGTTCATGAAGAGAAAGGGACAGACACTACAATACAGAGGAATGAGGCACCACAGGAAGAAGGGAGGGAGGGGCACCATGGGAGGGGAGGGAGAGAGAGAAGGCATCATGGTAGGGATGCGCCTGCTGGAGGAGAGGGGCAGCAAATGGAGAGTGGGTGGAGGGGGGGGATGAGGAGGAGAAGAGACCAGAGCGTCCATGGGCGTGACGCGTCCCCCGTAAAAACTAAAAACAGAGCGAATCGGGGCGCGAAACCCACTTAGACAAAGTCGGCCCGAAAAGATCACCCAGACCAGCGCGGATCTCCTAACAAAATCGGACGACTGAAAAAACGACCTGAAGCCAACTTGAAAACAGACGACTGTTTTTTAGTAAAAGTGTAAAACTAACGCCCATACGTGTGGCATCTTGCACATCACCCACACGCCTCCATCACCACTCATTTTTTCACGTATGAACAGATGACATCAGCAGGAATCTTTTTGGTTTTCGGCTTAAAAATATTTTACCTCCTAACTAAAAAATCAAATTAAAAATCAGTTTTCACCATTAAATCCGTCTCGACGAGATCTTCAAAACTAGACCCCATGTTGATATGTTTCAATTAAATTTGTTTTGCCCAAAAGTTGACATGATGTTTACACTGCAGTTGCCATAGTACTTAAACTAAAGTTGCCATGTGACAATTTTAATTTGTAGAGCGTAGCAATTTTGCTTTTTGATGATGAAAATTCCAATACTTTGATCATGAAAATTATTTTTTGTATAAACCATGGCAATTTTAAGTGCATGTATCATGACAATTTTAGTTTATGGTCCATGGCAAGTCTAGTTTCTTAATTCCCCGTTTTATAATATGTCAAAATTTTACTTTTAAATGTAGAAGAAAATAGCTGAAACATATCAATGCAATTTCAGTGTAAACATCATGGCAATTCATGTGCAATAGACATGGCAACTTTTAACCAAAAAAAATTTCGTCGAAATATATTGATATGAGATCTAGTTTCGAAGATCTCGTCGTGAGGGATTTAATGTTGAAAACAGATCTTCAATCGGATTTTTCATTTAAGAGATAAAACGTTTAAAAACTAAAAATTGAAAAAAATTCCAATATGCATGCATGCGGTGATGTGGCGCGGTCTTTGTGTTATAGGGCGTGTGGACGTTGTCCTATTTTTATATGAAAAAAAGGAGTGCACAAAAACCGAAAAGCAAAGGAGAAAGAAAACAGCATCGAAGTGTACAAAAGCTCGATATTAGCATGATTTCTCGCGGGGAAAAAACAAAAACACACACGAGCATGATTGGCGTTGACCATCTCTCTTTTTCTTCTTTCAAGAGTAGTATGCATTTTTCTTCTATTTTTCTAGGGGATTTTGCTCTAGTATATATAAAAAAGAAGAGTTCGCGCTGGCCGGCAGTGGGCTGGGCCTGTATCATCAAATCGAATTCCCCAAATCACGTGCACGCGCAACACAACGCCTGCGAGTCGGCTGGAATCAAACTTCCCCGCCCTTGACTTCCTCCCCCCTTCCTCCAAGCGCTAGGACGGTCGGATTCTTTCACCTCCGGTCCACCGCCATCCTCTAGCCGTAGCGCCACCATGGGGCTCGATCGAGCAGAGGATCAGGTCGGCGTGTGGCAACCTCTGTCCTCCGGAGATGACGTGGGAGACAGAGGTCACCGGCGACGCCACCGGACGAACACTCGGGTAAGACGACGCATTGCCACTGTCATATGTTTCAGGCTTTCTTCAGCATGGTTAGCTGCTTGTTAATAGACTAGAGTAGCAACAGTACCAGTAGAGTAGTTTGCTGACAGACAAGACAAACTAGCAACGGACTTCAAGTGTTTAGGCATTCTCAACAAGCAAGTACAGTACGTATCACGCTCACCAGGACCTAATGCATACAAGTTCTACAATCATCAATCTCTCTGGTTACACATATTACAAAACTAGTGCAGTCATCGAAGCAGGAAACTAAACTATGCAAACTAAGCACAAAGCACAAAGAACAAAGTTCGACACTCTGTAGAACAGAACACTAGCTAGTAGAGGTAATGACCTGCAGCCTCAGAGTTCCATGCTGCAACTCTGCAAACAAGTTTCCCATCGCCACAGCTCGTGATTCCCTTAGCTCCTGCGTGGTCCTCCTTCAAGTACATCGTCAATTTGAATCATCCAGAACAAAATCTTGCTGGTTGATTCAGGCCCTTCATTTTGCAGCCTGGGTGTGCAGTATATGCATTGTCTAGAAGAAAATGCACTGCGAAATGAATGGTGAAAATTCTTTGATTAGATTTGATTCTAGTTGCTATGAATGATAAGTGCAGATTTTGTACACACAAGGAAGATGTTTTGTTCAGATCAAGAAAAAAATGTTCCAGGTATAGCAAAAAAATGTTCCAGGTATAGCGCACGGTTATTGTGTCCATCTTTACATTGGTAGCCGTACACTGTCACTAGGCACTAGACGTACACTAGAAATTAGACAACTCGTATTTGTGGTATATTGTTATATTTTGCAAAACAAGGTGCTTTTTAAACAAAACGAAAATTGCAAAAGCGAAGTATACTTAGAAATGCAAGACTGAAGGAGGACCCATACCTTCTTTTCTATGTGCGCCAGCTTCATCTTGTTCTCCTCTAATTCACACCATTCCTTTAGTCCCGGGCACCTCTCTATTGTTAGGTTAGTGAGTTGATGTATTCCCTCGGGAAAAGACTTGATACCATCACATCCATGCAGATAAAGTCTCTTTAGAGAGGTGGGCAGCGCAAATTCCCTTTGTTGGTTGTCAGCCAGCTTCATCTTTCCCTCCTCTGTTTCAGCAACCACGTGCTCTAATGCATAGCAGTGCATAAGTACTATTTCCTGGAGGCTGGTGAGTTGTTGTATGCTTGCCGGCAAAGACCTCAAGCCTTCATTGTTATGTATCCAAAGTTTCTTGAGAAAGGTCAATTCGCCTAGCCAATGTGGCACTGCAGATATGCTTTTGCAGAAGCCCAGTTCTAGCGATTCAAGCTTTGTGAGTTGCCTCATGTTCTCGTTCAACTCCTTTACACCATTGCTATTAAATATAGTCAGATTCTTTAGAGATGGGAGCTCAACCAACCATATTGGCAGTTCTTCCATGTGTTCGTCTTCTAGGCATAGTTTCTCCAAAGAGGATAGTAGTTGGATGATATCTGGTGAGCCGGTTAGATCGCTACAATTGGCAATAGACAAATAAGGGAGTCCAGAGAAGTGTCGAAGCAACCTCCACTCATGCAGAGGCACCTTGCAGTCTCTAACTGACAACATAGTAGTTACTGGAGAAGAGGAAGCACTGGTGTGTGACACAATGCACACATCCCATGATGATAACACATTATCACTGCATCTTATCTCCCATTCTTTAGCTTTAGGCAGAGGCCCTTTCATCTTCATCATGGGGCAGCCATCTATTTGCACGCTTGTTAACATATTCTCCTCACCGGTGGAGTATGACGTGTCCCACTCTTCCAGATTTGCCATATCTTTGAGAACCAGTGAGTCCAGGTTTGGTAGTTGGCCCACTACCCAGCCTGGAAAGATGACACTGTTATAACCACATATCTCCAACACCCTCAATGTGCTTGGAGGCACTAGTTTTTTCAGCAACATTTTGTCATCCACAAATCTGTCAACACCTTGAGTCCACTCCAGTTTCAACTCCCGAATGCTTTGCTTTTCCATTAATTTTATACTATGTGCCTCTCCTGCGGACATCACATTTTCAAGTTCAGTTATCTCCAGCTTAAAAGGATCTGTGGGCTTTAGCAGGACAAGATTGCTGCTAGATCCATCATTACCAGCACGCACCACAAAGTGTGGTAACGATATTGCACTGCTACTGAGTTGAGGTATTTCATCAAGACTGCAACAATCCTCTAAATAAAGAAACTTCAAGCTACCAAATGTACATATACTTTCAGGTATTTTCTTCAAATTTCTGCATCCCGAGAGGTCCAATGTGTGCAGTTTTGTCAGGCTACAAATACTTTCAGGTATTCTCTCGATCAGACAATTTCGAGACAAGCCCAAATGCTCTAGATCTGAAAGATTAATTCTGCATATCTGGTTGATGAGAATGTCCCAGGTTTCTGCAGAGAGAAAAACTGATGCATCTTTCTTCCGATCATCCAAGGACCTCCTTAGTTTAGATAGATTTAAATACCGAAGCTTGGTCAGATCATCTGGCAGCGAACTGAGCTGTGTATCTTGTAAATTCAAATGTTGCAGACTGGTAAGACCGACCAAAGCTTCATGTACACCATCAACCATATAACAACCTGATAAGTCAAGATGGAGCAGATTCTTCAGACTCCCAAATAATCTTGGCAATTTTTTCATAGCTCGCCAACCTGATAAGTTTAAGTACTTGAGTTGACTGAATCCGCCCAAAGATTCAGGGAGCTTTTTGAGTCCACATTCCCTTGAAGATAAGTTCAAATACTCGATTTTTGTGAGGGCACCCAAAAATTCTGCTTCTTTACCACATTCAAGATATGAGTTGTTTGATAAGTTTAAATACTGCAGTTTGGAAAGGCCGCCCAGAACTTCTGGTATATCTCCGATATTTGGGCAGTATGATAAGTTCAAATACTCTAGCTGTGTGAGACTCTCCAAGAACACTGATATTCCTCCCACAGACGAGCAATTTGATAAGTCCAAATGCAACAATTTTTGTAGCCTCCTGAATGATTCTGGCAGTTTTGCAATTCCTGAACAACTTGACAAATCAAGGTACATTAGACTGCCAATTTCTCCAATTGACTCTGGTAGTGCTTTAATTGTAGGAGATCCATGAAGATTCAGGTAAATCAATTTTGAGAGCTTGGTGATACTGTCTGGAATCTTTGCATCTTGGACTTTTGGAGCATTAAGATATCTCAATTGCTTCAGTTCAACAATACAATCTGCCAACGTATATATGGCGCACTCACTTAAGTCCAAGACACGCAAAGACTTGGCAGATGAAAATGCAGCATCATGAAGTTCATATTTGTCACAATCCATAAAACGCAACGCTCTTATCTTGGATAAGTCTGATCCCAATGGCTTGCTACAATCATCTAGCAATGCATAGTGGAAGCGGCTTCCTTCAGCATTATTGACATTGCCAACAAAAATAATTTCATCCTCCATGACAGATCTTGCTAAATCATGCACCAGGTCATGCATGGTCAACAATATAACATCTTCATCATGTAGCTCAAAAGTCTGCAACAAAATCATTCAGCAGTGTTAGACTTTTGGATTTATTTAGATTTAAACAATTTATGACTTCATTCCTCAAATCTAAAAAAACATTTTATGCGTCAACTCCTTTACTAAATACTAAATTTTATTTTTGGCCCCCTGCTATTTCCCAAGTTTAGATTTGGTCTTTAAGATCCAAACTAGACAATTATGAACTTTGAGTCTCAAGCCCATACGAATTTCTTGTCTCAAACATTGCAAGATCATATTTGATGACACGACGGTTCTTTTGCGCCAGTGTTTGCCAGTTAAACATGATTTTACTTAACAAAAAATAACAAAATATGTGAATTCAAGGAAACTAAGGAAGGAAAATAATTATTTGATAAAATTCAGAATAAGAAAAAAATACTGCGAACACTAATGCAACAGAAGGACAAAAAAACAAGAATATTTAGGAAAATGAAAACCCCGCAGTGCCTTGCTTCATCCTCGCCTCTAGGATGATGACCTATGAACGAGAAAGATGAGGAGGTTGCTGTTCATCGTCTCCCACCTCCCTATGTAAGCAGGTGGTAGCTGGCCTCGGCCTCCATGCGAGGTAGCTGTAACAGGCAGCCTGCATCATTAGATCCCGCGGCAGCAACCACAATTTTTCAGTCTCTCACTAGTACGGAACAACCTATCACATAAGATACATCACCAGCAATTTTGACGAAACCCAGTGGTCATAGCTGACATGGTCCATTAAAGACGGGATATCACTGGTTTCAGAAGATATGCTTATAATTATATGTATGAACTTATTCTTAGTTGTACAGAAACGTGTATTTGTCTATTTGACCATTTTATGTGAAAGGAATTACATCAATGCTTTTATAATGTGAGCTCGCTAGCAGGAATATTATTAATTATTACTTTTGGCTGATGGAAGATGGATAGGGATTGACCGTCTGATGCATGTGTTCATTGGCGGGTTACTCTGTCCATGTGTGTTAGCTCGAGCTACCTCTGTCCCGCGAGTACTGGTGGCTGGCAGAACCGCTAGTAGAATGTACTTTCCCTTCGTTCCATAATGTAAGACGTTTTTTGACACTATTAGTAGTGTCAAAAAAGTCTTACATTATGGGATGGAGGGAGTATCTCCATAACTTAATATAACACGTTTTTGGCACTATAACAATGTCAAAAATTCTTATATTAAGTTGCGGAGGGAGTATGTCTGAAACAGTTCAGTATTTTGCAATGAAAAAAATAGCGCGCTATACAAAATAGTGTCACCCTTTGAAATACGCTATTAGTGTGCTATAACGTGCTATTAGCGGGGCAATTCTCTACACGCTATAGCTTGCTATTAGCGGCGCTATAGCTTGCTATTAGCGGCGCTATAGCGCGCTATTTTTTACCGTGGTATTTTGTGATGGTATTGTATGGTTTGCATGTATACCAGGGGTGATTCTCCATGATGGTTTCCAAGACTGCATCGGATGGGTGTTTTATTCCTGAATATCTATAACCACTACAGTGAACTGAACTATATTGTTGTACATTTCACGAATAATGTTGTAAAAAGACTGATTCTAAAAGAATAACGAAAAAAGAAAAGGGAGATTAAGTTCTCGCACCAAGTAGTCATGCTAGTCACAGTAAGCCCAATAGCATGTGTAAGTAAGAGACTGTGTTTATGCAAATGCACATCTGGATGCGAACTAAAGACCTCGGGGTGGGCATTTCTTACAACAGGACATTACGATTTTCCCGACGGCCTTAGTACTCCCTCGGATCCATATTATTTGTCGCTGCTTTAGTTCAACTTATACTAGATCCAAGGGAGTACTTACTAATGTGTACTTTTTGTTTAACTAGCATGCTACAGTAAAACCAATAGTTGAATATTGTAGGGATGTGTTGGGTTGCATTTGTGTGTATCAATCATTGAGATATTCTCAAAAAGTTATTTGGAAAAGCTGCACTGTAAGAAATGATTATGTGATGTACTCCAAATCATTCTCAGCAATTTTAGAATTATATTATAGTTTCAATATTTGTCAGCTTGTGTATTATACAACTATACTTAAGTTACCTTACACCAGTTCCAAAAGAACAATGAAAACACGTAAAAGGTATAAATAAACTCACCGATGATGACTTGAAATGGTCAAGAAAAGAAAGGCCCAAAAGCTGACTAATGTATCTCTCACCAAGTTCCCAGGAAGAGAAACCAAGAGAAACCCACTGATGAATAAGATCATCTTTAAGTATCTTGTGGCCTTTTGGAAATATTGCACAATAGGCAAAGCATAGCTTCAGATACGAAGGCAAAACACTATAGCTCAACTTCAGAGATGCAAGCACTTGTGTAGAAGATGTATCTTCCAAAGAAGGTGCAGTCCAAATATTACTATCTCTCACTGATTCCCATTGACCAGATTTCATAGATTGCAGCGTGTGCCCAAGTGATTTAGCTGCTAAAGCCACACCCGCACACTTCATTGCAATGACCTTCCCTATTTCCTCCAATTGTTCTTTGTCACCTCTTGATTCAAATGCACTCTTTTGCTTTATAATAGACCAACACATATCATCAGTCAATGGTGCTAATTTGTATGGTTGGATGGTAGACATTTTCTTCGCAATACCTTCACTTCGTGTGGTTGCTATAACAACCACCTTACTGCTCTCCCCAACTTTTAACATATCTTTCAGTTCTTCCAACTGAAACATGTTGTCTTCCCACATGTCATCTAAAACAATCAGAATTTTCTTGTTGGCAAGGAGCTTTTCAAGGGAATTACGGATCATCTGCTTTCCAGTGTACGCACTCTCTTTATCATTCTCTGATAGTTGTGATATTATAGAGTTTCCAATTTATCAAATGTCTGAGACACGTAAACCCACACTTGAGAGTATTCATTGAACTGGGAACTATTGTAAACCATTTTTGCCAAGGTTGTCTTGCCAAGGCCTCCAATGCCATATATAGGAAGGATTGTGATATCCTTTGTCATGCTCTCAGATAAAGAAGCCAATATTATATCTCTCTCCTCAGTCCTCCCAATGATTTGTGTCTCCAGGGTTGATGATGTTTCCCGTATATCAGTCACCTTTGGCTCATTGGCATTAGTGCAGTCTGTTAACTTGAATTCCTTGTGTTGATCTGTTATGACCTTGAGGTCGTCCCTCATGTTCTTCATCCTATTGGCCATTGTAATGTTGGGGCCAATTGTGAGACAAGGGATCATGAACGCCAAATATTTTTTGAAGGAGAACTGCAAGACAGTTGCTTTGTTAGTAAAATACAAAATCACCAGCACCCAGCAGTTTAGTATAGTAGGATATTACAAAAGCATTCAGCCAACAGAAAAATTTGTTAATACATCAAGAGGCAAATCCTCCTATTTCTAAGAACCTCCGATTGTAACTGCCAAGGTTAAGACCAGTGTCACCTTTAATGATGTGCTGAGAACTGGAGCTAAAACAAAAAGGTATGAAGATGTTTCAGATGCACGGCCCGAACGCTGAGGCCTGTCAAAACCATGTCTAGTTCATCCAAGGTTCCTGTGCCCAAATTATTATTGTGGAGACTGGATAACAGATTACCAAGTGTTGTAAAGATGTGGGCGTGTTTATTAGCTGTGTGCATCCTAGCTATGAAGAGGCAGAGTGTGTGCTCATTGTGTTTGTATCCACTTGATATTTTATTTTGAGTCAATAAAATCCATCATTTGTTGAAAAAGAAGTGTTGATGAAGATGTTGGCCAAGATCAAGCCAAACAATCTACTAGCAGATTCAATAGCTCAGTACCTTGCGCGCAGACGGCTGGGTGATGGCTTGTGTGTCTGCTTCGAACTCATCAATCATGTCAGAGACCTCATACAAGAAGTCCTTGAGCCGCTTCAGCCAAAGACCCGTCAGCTCGTCGGTGATGGACCGCCTCTCCGCGACCTTGAGCACTGCCTCGACAGACTCCAGCGCCATCTTCATCTTCTTGAGGTCCTTGTCCAAATTCATCTGCAGCGCGATCTGACCCCCGATCAGAGAACCAACCTGGTCGCCCACCACCTTGAGGATGGCAGCAGCAAGCATGCCGCCGAGCGCCGCCATGGCCGTCGCTGCTCCTGCTCCTGCCTTTCAGATGGGGGACACTTGTTGAAGGTTGTGGGAGCAAGAATGGTGGGGAAGTTGGTGAAGGGCGCGACGGGATCTGACTGAAGCTTGGGTGCCGGGGCGTGGCCAGAGCAGGGGCCACCTCTGGCCGTGGTCCTTGCTCCCCGTGGTGCTCGTCGGCGGCAGCGCGGAGCTGGACGGAGGCACAACGCTCAGCGCGCTGCTTAACGGCGGCGTGGGGGTGCACTGCAGCGAGCGAGAGGAGGCGGCATGTCAGATCGAAGCTGTGCGACAGTGCGAGAGGAGGAGGAGGCGAAAGAAGGAGGGCAGGGGCACTCGTCCCTGAGCAAGCAAGGATCTGGCTTTTGGTACCTGATGTGCTGCTGCTGTCGGGCGGCGGCGGCACGGTGCGGCTGGTCCAGATCCGGGTTGTGGAGCGCCGGCGGCGAGGCGGAGAGGAAGAGCAGCAGGGCGGCCAGGTTGTGGAGCGCCGGCGGCGAGGCGGAGAGGAAGAGCAGCAGGGCGGCCAGGTTGTGGAGCGCCGGCCGGGGAGATGGCAGCCAGCTTCAGCTTCAGCTTGAGAGAGAGCGAGCGAGATCTGAAATTGTGCTACTAGTACTCCATTATTTTGGTTGACTTGACTTGACTAGCTACCAAAGTCTTAACTTATGATTTGCATCCATATAATGGATTGATTATTCATAATACGACCGACACCATGTGCTTTGCCACGTGCCTTCAATAAAATGAAACAAAGACTTCAAACAAAAACAACTAGTAGGAAAACTCGCATATGTTTTATTGCTCCTAGGATAAAATAAAATAAAATAAAGACTCAAGACTCTGGCATTGTTGATTTGTTCTTGAAGACTCGCATGTTTCACTCCTTCCAAATCCCCCGAGCCACTGACTTTTTTTTGAAACTCCATAACTTTATTCATCAAATGATAGCCAAATCGTTTACAAAGAGATGAAGAATAAAGTCAGGGATGTTTTCCCATACTTCAGACTTTTTAACTCTGATACAATGTTTTGCTAAGGCATCCGCTACTGAGTTCGCCTCTCTACTACAATGAACAAAGGAGATATGAGCAAATTGCATTGTCGTTAGAGAGCACTCAGCTATAATAGGAACTGCAGGTCCCATATATGCATTAGGATCCGAGACTGCCTCCAGCGCCATTGTGCTATCCGATTCAATCACCAGTTTGGTACAGCCCAAGTTTGCAGCTAAATTTAGTCCACACCGAATAGCAATCATCTCTGCTTCTTCTACATTTGGGACATGTGCTAGTAACTGGGAGGCTGCGCCCAGGAACTGACCCTGATCATTGCGTGCAATAACTCCACAAGAACCTGAGAGATTCTCCAAAGTAAAGGATGCATCAACATTTATCTTTACCATTCCCACATCCGGTTTCTTCCATACCTGGTCCCCTTTACGAGCAGCATATTTTGGAGTATTAGCCCTGACGAAATTAGTGGCTAGAACCTGTATTGAGATGGCCGTTTGCTCTATCGTTTGGGTGGTTTCCCCCTTCGTATACAGACTCCTCTGCCACCAGATAAACCACATCGCCACCAAAATGAATTCGGGTGTTGGGATGTTATTTACCTCCGTATGTATCTGGAGCAAAGCATCAAGGTTCATGGAGCCCGACCGGTCCTGCATGATCACTCTGTCAATCTCAGCCGATAACCCCATCTTTTCCCATATTGCATGTGCTCGAGAGCATGTGAACAGGCAATGTTGGATGTCCTCCAATCCACAATCACAGATCGGGCACTGTGGCATTAATGGAATATGCCGGCTAGCCAGCACACCATAGCAAGGTAAAACTCCCTTCAACACTTTCCATCCAAAATGTTTAACTTTCCCTGGTAACCTTAACTTCCACAACTCTTTCCATACCCCATGATCATTTACACTTGGCTATTCCGGTTAAAGTGTCGTCCAAACTGGTTTTCAAATTCAATGTGATATGCCGATCTCACCGAGAACGTCCCCGACCTTGTATGATGCCAAGCAACAAAGTCCTCCACCACTTCAACGTTAAGATGGATCCGTAAAATTCTGTTTGCATCAACAGGCGAAAACACTTGCCGAATGAGATCCTCATCCCACTGTCCCGTATGAGGATTAATTATCTCCTGAACTTTTGTTAACATGATGCCACCTCTGGGTGTGATCAACTTCCTATTTGCACTTGATGGAATCCAAGGGTCATCCCATAGACTGATGTGTGACCCAGATCCTACCCGCCAGATGCATCCTCTCTTGAACGTATTTATTCCTTCGACAATGCTTTGCCAAGTAAACGAAGCTCCCTTTTTTGGACTAGCTTTCAATATATCTCCACTTGGATAATATTTTGCGCTCAAAACTCTTGCACACAGGGAATCAGGGTTTTGGAGTAGACGCCAACATTGCTTTGCTAACATAGCAAGATTAAAGCTGTGAAGGTCTCTAAACCCCATACCACCCTTTTTCTTTGGTACACACATTTTCCACCACGCAAACCAATGCATCTTCCTCTTTTCCTCTCCATCTCCCCACCAGAAGCCCGATATTTCATCGGTAATTGACTTACATATTCCTTTCGGCAGCTTGAAAACAGACATAGCATATGAGGGGATTGATAGTGCTACTGCCCTAATCAGGATCTCCTTGCCATGAATTGAGAGGATCTTTTCCTTCCACCCTTTCAATCTCTTGCATACTCTGTCCACCAAGTGCTGAAAACAGTCACTTCGGTCCACACCAACAATTGTTGGTAGACCAAGATATGTGTCTGACAAGGCTTCGGTGAGAATATCCAACATAGCACATACACTTTCCCTGTCATTTACTCTAGTATTAGGACTAAAAAAGACACTAGACTTTGGGGTACTTACTCGTTGGCCTGAACATTCACAGTATGTGTCCAAAACTTTCTTCAGTGTTGTTGCATTCTGAACTGTTGCATTCATCAAGATCAAACAATCATCTGCAAACAGCAAGTGTGAGATGGATGGTGCATTTCGAGAGACTTTTACTCCTTCTAAACCACCAGTTTCTTCCTCATGAGCCAGCAAACTAGAGAGTCCTTCTGAGCAGATCAAGAATAGATATGGTGATAATGGATCACCCTGCCTCAGGCCTCGGCCTGGAAGGAACTCCTCTATTTCAGTGTCATTAAATCGAACTCTATAGCTCACTGAAGACACGCACTCCATAATGAGCTCAATCCATTGTTCATGAAAACCCATCTTCGCCATCATTGCATGCAAAAACCCCCATTCAACTCTGTCATAAGCTTTCAACATATCCAGCTTAACTGCGCATATCCCATTAGATCCATGGGATTTCTTCTTTATTGTATGAAAGCATTCATAAGCAACTAGCACATTGTCAGTTATTAATCTGTCCGGTACAAATGCAGTCTGAGTTGGTGAAATTACCTCAGGCAAGATCTTCTTCAGTCTATTTGCTAGCATCTTCGAGATAACCTTATAAACCACGTTACATAAACTTATAGGCCTGAATTGGGTTATCATTTCAGGGCTATCAACTTTCGGGATCAACACCACATTTGTTGCGTTCCATCCTTATGGAATCTTTTTGTTGTTGATAGCGTCCAGCACTTCCTTCGTGAGTTCCTCCCCTATAATGAGCCAGAATCGCTGAAGGAAATATGCCCTAGAGGCAATAATA